CCTTTTTCTCAACTTCAAAATAGGCTTCTTTTCCTCATCTTCAAAGCAGAATCTCAGCTTCTTACGGGGATCTCTGTACTCACACTGCCTCCCAGACCTTGCTGCCTCTGCTTGCCCCCAGTCAGTTACTCCTGTGCCTTGTTTAGGAAGGTTTCTCTCCAGCACAGAGACAAATCATTTGACTTAAGATACACTGGTGCTCTTGTTGTCAATTGATGCATTTGAGTTATGGTGTTGGAGAAGAATGCAGAAAGTACCACGACTGCCAGAAGAACAAATAAATCAGAATGCTCTTGAAAAGCCAAGATGGCGAGACTTTGTCTCTCATACTTTGGACTTATCAGGAGGGACCAGTGCCTGGAGAAGGACATGTTGCTTGGTAAAGTGGATGGATGATCAGCCAAAAAGAGGAAGACCACCCAAACAAGATGGATTGGCACAGTAGCAGCAGCAATGGGTTCAAATGTAACAAGGATTGTGAGGATGGCACAGGAGCCGGCAGTGTTTTGAGCTGCATAGGGTCGCTTAACAACAACAACAACAAATTGTTAAGTCAGTAAATCTAAATTCCTTATTGTGTTCAGGACAGTGAAGAGCCCACTGCCTGCCCCTGCCCTTGCCCCAGATCTCTTTCCATGAGGGAAGAGACTGTCCCAGTGTTTGCCCCTTCATCCACACACTTGCCACCTCCAGATTGCCTCTCTGCCCTTCTCTGCCTGATGAAAGCTTCATTGTCCCTTCTCAATGAGGTCTTCTCCCGATTCTTCTGCTCTTTTCTATGCTTTTGTGGTATTTTGTTTTTGTGCCAGTCCAGCGCTCTTCACAAAAAGGAATCCTCTCTTTTGTGGTTGTTAAGAGGTTCGTGATGCATCCCAATATGCACACCATGTGTTAAGTACGCCTGTAGGCTCTGCATGTGAGGTACTGCAGGCTTTCAGTAAATGTGTAACTGAATTACAGCCTTCAGAATGGTAAGGAACAGAGCCCGAGAAATTACAGACCCAACAAGCTTCCGGCACAGGAACAAGAAGGTGAAAGGGCATTCTTGTTCTGATGTTCTTCCTCATGTCATTCTCCCCCAGGCTTCCACTTGTATAGTGCAGCTCTGGGCTCCCCACGACCTCAGCTCCAAAGTCAGTTCCCCTGCTTCCCCCCTGCACACCTCTTCCTGCCATTCAGCTCTGTGATGGGAGACATACCTCTGTATAAGTTGAAAGTCGGTCAGATTAAATGAGATCTGAAAGCCTCTTCAGTGGCTGGCATCCCCTTGAAATGGGGGATATTTAAAAATGTAATAGAAGCTTATATTTAGGATTGCCTTCATGGGAGAAGTAAGAGGGTGTTCTCCGGAGCTCCCTTTATTATATCATTTTAGGTGTGAAATATTGCTTTATTCAGACCCTGGTGGTGGTTATGTGCCATGGATAGGGTTTCCAAGGCTATAAATCTTTATGAGAGCAGAAAGCTCTTCTTTCTCCCATGAAACTCCTAGTAGATTTGAACTGCTGATCTTGCAGTTAGCAACCCAACTCATAACCCACTACGCTATTGAGTTCCTTATTCAAACCCTAGATTACCAGTAATGGCATTTCCATATTTGTCTGTGGCATGAATTTAAAATCTACCATAGTATTAATTGTCAAGATTCAATGGGTTTGCAACAAAGTGTACATTCAGTCTGTTAGTACCTTATTTGGCATTTACTGCAGACCCTCAGAAATGCAGAGTTTCTGATTTAAGACTGGTAAGAAGCATCAACAGGGGTAGTAAACTGATACCAATAAGAAGAGCCTCAGTGTAGGGTCATGAAGGCTTTGACACATTCTTCAAACAATTCCGAAATTCAGAGAGGTTGGGTATTTTTATATTATCTAGTATTTGTGCTCTGAGCACAAGTTTTCCATTTGCAGCAATAACTTTGATCAGAAAAAATTTTAAAACCTGACATTCAAACTTAGAACATACGAGATGAGAAGGGTCTTATTTGATTTGTTTGTAGATGATGAACTGAGTCCCTGTATACTGACTAGCCTAGAGCTATATGACTAGTCAGCCAGTCACCTGGTCCAACACAATACAATACTTCAGGCTTTAGTTCCGAATTTTTGTTTATAAATATAGCGATGTTTCTGTTGCTACCAGCCTGGAGAACCACCATGGAGGGACCACTAGTAAAACTTTCAGACAGCAAACTTAGTAGCCTTAGGCTGAGCTCCTAAGAGTTGTAACGATACTATTAATAATAAAAACCAACCTTTATATCCTTAATTAAGTGCACAACCCTAGAGATAAGACTATCGTCTGCTCCATTTTAGAAATGTAGCTCACATAGTCTACACCGACATTGGAGGTGGTGCCAAGCGTTCTGTCCCCAGGAGTCTTTCTCCCGTGTAATTGTTGGAAACCTTGTTGTTGTTGATAGCTGCTACTCAGTCAGCCCTGACTTGTGGTGACCCTAAGCACAACAGAATGTAACACTATCTGGCCCTCAGCCATTTTTACGATTGTCGGTATATTTGCAGCTATTGTGTCAGTTCCAGCTTGCTGAGGGATTGATTCCCTCACCTTCACTGGCCCTCCACTGTCACAACCCTGATCTAGGGAGTGGTCTCTCCTGATGATGCTTCCAAAGGAAGTGAGTTGAAGTATCAGATAGTGTTCTGTGAGCTACAGGGTTTTGATTGGCTAATTTTTGGAAGTAGATCACCTTTCTGCCTAATCTGTCATAATCTTGAAGCTGCACTAAAATCTGTCTGTCCTGGGTGACCTTACTGGTACTTGAAACACCAGTGGCACAGTGACACACAAGCCACCGTAGTGTGATAAACTAGTATGGCAGATGGGTGGTGTGGGTGTACTGGGAACCTCGTATATGTGAGACAGGAGTTTTTCTACAAACTCTTTGAAATCTCCACATATATATCATTGCTGATGTCAGATGGATCTTGACTGAAAGCAGAGAATACCAGAAAGATGTTTACTTGTATTAACTATGCAAAGGCATTTATATCGATCATAACAAACTATAGATAACATTGTGAAGAATGAGAATTCTAGAACATTTAACTTAATTGTGCTCTCGAGGAACCTGTATAAGGACTAAGAGGCAGCCATTAGAACAGACTGAGTGGTTTAAAATCAGGAAAGGTGTGTGTCAGAATTGTATCCTTTCACCATACTTATTCAATCTGTATGCTGAGCAAGTAATCTGAGAAGCTAAATTGTATGAAGAATATGGTATTAGGATTGGAGGAAGGCTCATTAACAACCTGTGATATGCAGTAACATAACCTTGCTTGCTGAAAGTGAAGAGGACTTGAAGCACTTACTGATGAAGATCCAAGACTGCAGCCTTTGATGTGGATTACACCTCATGTAAAGAAAACAAAAATCTTCACAACTAGACCATTAACAATATCATGGTAACTGGAGAAAAGATTAAAGTTAGCAAGGACTTCATTTTACTTGGCTCCACAATCAACTGCTCATAGAAATAACATTCAAGAAGTCAAATGACATATGGAGTGGGTATATCTACTGCCAAAGACCTCTTGGAGGTATTAAAGAGCAAAGCTGTGACTCTGAGGACATCTTTGTATTTTCAAGTGCATGTGAAAGCTGGTCAGTGACTAAGAAAGACCTGAGAAGAACCGATGCATTTGGATAATGGTGTCACTGAATATTCCATGGATCGCTAGAAGAACAAACAAGTCTGTCTCGGATGGAGTGCAGCTGGAGTGCTCCTTAGAGGGGAGAACGGTGAGACCTCATCTCATATACTTTGGACATGTTATCAGGAAGAACTACTCCCTGGAGAAAGACATCATGCTTGGTAAAGTAGAGGGTCAGAGAAAAAGAGGAAGACCCCCCAACAAGACGGATTGACACAGTGGCTGCAACAATGAGTTCAAACATGGGAACAGTTGTGAGGATGGTGCAGGACCAGACACTTTCCATTGTACATAGGGTTTCTTTCCATTGTACATAGGGTTTCTTTCCATTGTACATAGGGTTTCTTTCCATTGTGCATAGGGTTGCTATGAGTAGGAGCCAAATTGACAACCCTAGCACCTACATCCCTACTCTCTCCTCACCACTGTAAACAAACGCAAACTCACATTTACAGCATTTGCTAACTGCTAACTCCGACTCTAGCCCTGACCCTGAGAACCACACCGCTGGAGACAGGGATACCTAGACATTCGTCCTTGTTCCTTCACCTGCTGTTAACCACCTTTGCTATTCTTGCCATCACTGGTGCCATCTTTGTTTCTGTACAAAGTCATGTCGTCTTTCGCGTGCCCCAATCGTAAATCTTCTCAGTGTTTGCCAACTACTCCTGCCCCCTGGTGGCTCCACTTGTCTTTTCACCAAGAACTTAAACCTCCAGCAACCAATCCCTTATAGAAGGTGGGGGAAGAAAGCTTTACCTCATGCCCCCATGTCTAGGTGGTGACCCAGGGAAGAGTCTCTGGTCAGGTTTTGAGAGACAGTTTTACTTATAGATGTGTTCACGTTTATTGGAGTCCCCATGCTGATTTTACAGATTGAGCCTTTGCTTTGTGGGCCTGTTGGTATGAACTTGATAATTCTGTACTTCTTCATGTCTGACTGACTGATTTTAGTGATGCCAGAAATTCAGACAGAGGAAAGCAGAACCATGTGTGTATCATTTGCATGATTGTGTTAAGAGTCCCCTTAACTGTGCTGAGTTCCCCTCTTCAGCCTGGAGGTGTTGGCTTAATCTGGAAGCGCCACTGAAATCTATTCAGCCTCATAGCAACACACAAGCCTCCACTAACAAACAGTTGCTGGCTGTGCGTGAGGCTGCTTGGCAGAGCCTAGAACCAGGTTCTCCTACATGGAAGGCAAACTTTCTACCATGGGAGCACCGATGCTTCATGCTGGGCGTGTAGTTCAACTCAGTGCTTTTTGGATTTATAGTACCGCTTACCAAAAACACTTCACTTCAGCTTCTTTCGCTCCTACCTCTCTCTTAGCTGAAGAGGGCCAGTAGTGAAGACATGCTCAACAAACCAGGAAGCACCACCACATCAGGAGCTGTTCGCCTGAAAAAGACCATGACATCTGGAGCCATTGCTGAGCTGGCTGAGAGCCGTGTGAGAAGCAATCCAGGTAGGAGGTTCCCAGGCTGTCCCTTTACTTCAGTGATTCATTCCCTCATTCCCTCAGAAGGGATCTGCAGAGCACCTCCTCTGCCAAGAGTTGTTTCATTTAGACAGTGTGTCTGCCCACAAGGAGTTCACATCTAGTGGGGAGGTGGATGATAAACAAAAAGGTAACGGGAGACCCACTGTTCTCTCTGTCTAATTGTCTATTTGTTGTCGTATGTGTATGTGTGTGTATGATTTTGTGTGTCTGTGTGTGTGTCTAAAATCCTTTTGAGATCCAGGCCAGGTGGTATGTGCTCTGGGCGTTACCTTGGTGAGACATGCAGATGAAATGTGTGAACCCTGTAAATCTCTGGCAGAGGTTCTATTTCGACCGTGCATAGTGTTTCCGAGGAGAGCTGGTGGGTTTGAACCGCTTACCTTGTGATTCAAACCAGCCTTGTGGTTTACTTCTTATCCTACAGCACCGCACTTGCCCCAATACTGTGGACACTGGAAGGCCTCTCCTCTCCCAGCAGCGATGGCAGAGTAAAGGACATTAGAGTTGCTTCAGGACACTGGTAGCTGGAGCCTAGGGACTTTTTCAACTTTACTAGTTTCTTGAGAATCAACAAAGACTTGTTGTAGCCAATGTATCTGAGTTCAGAACACGGAAAGCATAAAATACCAGAGAATTTATTTAAGAGTCTTTTGGAGTTCATACATAAGTTTTCTCATGGTCTCACTCTTAGAAAGGGAGCATGGTTCAACAGAGTAAGCATGGACAGAAGCCACAAGGTCAGCGGCCGAGCTCACGAGCCTTTGCCACAGGAGGGAGATGAAGCTTTCTAGTACCACAATATTTAATTAAAACAATTGAAGTTCTCAGAAATGCTATGCAGGGTCACTATGCATCAGAAGCAACTCAATAGCACTTAACAGCAACAACTCTTAGAATGATGCTAGCAATATTGCTAAATTACCTAAAATGGGAAAATTACTCAAATATATCATTATTAATTTACAGTAAGCGTTAAAAGGTAGCATACTTATACATTCTACTCTTTACATATAAACAGCATGTTCCAGGCTAGCTTTCCAAAAGTATACTTTAAGTGTTAAATAATTGAATCTATGAAAACTATATGTGACTTAAAAAATAAATAAAAAGAGAGAGAGAGAGAGAGACATTCTTTGTGTTTCCAAAGAGTGGTTTTACTGTTCTAAAGACTGATTGCATAATAACACACATACATACAATTTGGTTTAAAAAATATAATGAATAAAAAGATGAATTATTTTTTTCCATTTAGATTATTACTGATTCCAAAGTTGACAAAGAATTAAAAAATAGCAGACCAATCTCACCATTAAATATTCAGGCAAAAATGCTAGACCTAAATATTAACAAACAAAATCAGCAGCCAATTGAAAAAAATAATGTATGTCATTAACAGTGGATTTATGCTACCAAGGCAATAATGATTTGACATTAGAATATCTAGTAATTTAATCTACTATACATTATTAATTAATCAACAAAGTTAACACATATGGTCATCTCAATAGTTACAGAGAAAAGCATTTGACAAAATCAGTAACTCTTAGTAGATTCTAAACATATTGATACTTCTTAGATGACATAAAATACATGTAACTCAAATCAAAAGCCAGCATCATGCTTAATGGTGAAATCCCCAAAGCATTCCCATTAAATACAAAACTGGTTGGTGGTTTCCTACTGTTGTTTAAATTTCTCTGCAAGCATCCACCGAGGCAGTGGGATAGGAGAACTACAGAAGTGTGTGGATATTAGAAATGGGAAATAAACGATGGTTTTATGAAGATAATAACATTGTATACTTAGGGAAATGCTTAGCGTTTCCTAAAGTTATATCAGTAGGAAAAAACACCTTAGAATGGCTTAAGATCATTAGCTATAATAGGATTCAGTGTGTAGCTGGTTGTGGAACATAAAATATCAGTTTCTTACCACTAACCTGTTAGAAAAAAATGTAAGAAAAAGTTCTATATTGCCCTTAGTCACCCTTTAGTTTTGGATATGAACTCACTCCCATGGCTGAATTTTCAGCCAAACAAAACATAGCTCTCTAAAGGGAGCACGAAAGGGCCCTGGTAACATAGTGGCTTATGAGTTGGGCTGCTATGTAGTGATAGCTTTTGAACAGAGATCTGTGACGCTGTCGCAAACTGCAGTGAGCTGTTGGATTTAGGATGCAGGTGTCCTTCCCATTGTTATGGCTCAAATTCAGCTTGTCAACTTCCTTTCTCTAATGAAATGATCAGTTTTAGTTCATAGAATTGAATCTGAAAAGTATATTTTCTCTTGGAAGCTTTTATTTTTTTAAATGTAGGGAGCCCTCAACATTTTGTATTCAGCTCTTGGGTAGCTGGTACTTTTAAACTTGCTCTCCCCCACTGCCTCATGAATGCTGTGTATTAATCATGATGTACATAGGCTTGTCCATCATCTGACAGGCCACTGTCGGAGTGTTGGCACGTCGATGCTGCCTGCCACCAGTGTTTCTCTTGTAAAGGTGCTGCCATTTTTGTGATTACACAGCAGGGCTTGGGTCGTCTATTAAATATTTGATTTTGTTTTGCCGTTATTTTGCATGTTTGAAAAACAGGGAACATGAAAGTGCTGAGACCTGTAATAAGTGCAGATTTGAATCTCTCAATACATTGAGACAAAGACAGACGGTATTTATTGTGTCAAAATGGCAGCCTCCGCTGAATGGCCACTGGAGTTACAGCAGTTCTCTATCTAGGTTCCACTGTGAAGAATTAATTAGAATGAAGGAAAATACTGGCAATATGCTGTTGCTCTTCTCTGTTAGGAAAGGTGTAATTGTCAATTGCATATGAACTCTTGTTGTTGTTGTCAAGAGCTGTCGAGTCGATTCCAACCCATAGCGACCCTGTATAGGGTTTCCAAGGAACAGCTGATGAGCTTGAACTGCCAACCTTGCAGTTTAAACGGCTTTGCAGTCTGGTGCATTAACCCACAGCGCCACACCAGGACTCCATATAAACTCTTGTTGTTGTTGTTAAGTGCTGTGGAGTCAGTTCCTACTCATAGTGACCCTGTACAGGGTTTCCGAGGCTGTAAAGCTCTGGTAGCGTAGTGGTTACGAATCGGGCTGCGAATCTTAAGGTCAACGGTTTAAAACTACCAGCCGCTCCGCGGGAGACAGATGAGGCTTTCTATTCCCGTAAGGATTTACACCCTCGGAAACCCTGTACAGGGTCGCTATGGGTTGGAACCGACTCGACAGCACTTAACAACAACAACAACAACAACAAATCTTTACAGGAGCAGAAAGCCTCATCTTTCTCCCACGGAACAGCTGGTAGCTTCGAACTGCTGACCTTGCGGTTCACAGCCCGATTCGTAACCACTATGCTACCAGAGCTCCTTATATAAACTTTTAGGGGACAGCATTCTTTTTATGATCCTTAAGTCTTAGTTTTTTTTTGTACTTTTGACTTTGGGACAAATTTCCTGTAAATTCTGCGTAATGGCAGCCCTGTGTGTATCATGGTAGAAAGATGCTCCATGAGGTTAACAATGGCTGATTTGTTCAGGAGTGGATTGTCAGGTCTTCCCAGATGCCCCTGGGTGCATTGTAACCTCCAGCCTTTCAGTTAGTAGTTGAATGTGTTAACCATTTGCACCATGCAACAAGAGTTATCCCGCTTCTCCTGTTTGGGAGTTTTATTTCCATTCCACCCTCCTTCCCAGCACTTCTCAATTTTGTCCTTAGGTAAATGATATCCTTTTGATCTTGAATGGTTTGACCATTCCTTGATGAGCATACCTCATGTTATACCTATCTACCTCTTGGCTGAAAATATGGCCACAAGGTCCGTTCCAGACCTCAAGGGTGGCCAAGGTTTCCTCCAATCTCTTTCTGACCAGTAAACCTGGTCTTTTTTTGATAATTTTTGTGTTCTGTTTCACATTTTTTCCCACTCTTTCTGGCAACATCTAGTTCTTCTGGTCTTAGAGGTGCACAGACTGTTCACGTGTTTTATTGGCCAACTGAACTAGCTGATTCCAAGAATCATCGATTTTTATCGCTCTCTTTCCGCCACACGTGGAGAGACCAGTAGTTGCACCTTGGAGATAGGCGCTCATGAGCTTCGAAGATCCTAGTCGTTACTCATCAGAGTAGGATGTAGAACATTGTCTTCGGACACTATGTTACTCATTGGCTAAATTTTTGCAAATTTTCTTTCTAGTCTTTCTTAGTCCAGAACCTCTGCTGAAACCTGTTCATCATGGGTGACCCAGTTGATATTTGAAATGTACATGACCTAGCTTCCAGCATTTTGTTGTTGTTGTTGTTGTGAAGTACCATTGAGTCGATTCCAACTCAGAGCGACCCTGTGTAGGGTTTCCAAGGAGCAGCTGGTGAGCTTGAACCACCGAGCTTGTAGTTCAAATGACTTTTAGTAACCTGCAATCCACTAAACACTGACACATGGGTGCTGGGAACTCACAGTGTTGTTGTTAAGGGCCATCGAGCTAGTTCCGACTCATCATGACCCTGTATAGGGTTTCTGAGGAGTGGCTGGTGGATTTGAACTGCTGACCTCGTGGTTCAAACTGACCTTGTGGTTCAGTGCTTTATCCTACAGCATCACACCAGGATTGTTGTTGTTGTTAAGTGCCACGGAGTTGGTTTCAACCCATAGCGATCTTATATAGAGTTCTGGTGTGTTTGAACCACTGACCGTGCAGTATCCTACAGCGCCACCCCAGGACTCCACACCAGGATTAGTTGAACCTATAAGCAGCTAGTATTGCACCCTTTCCTGGGAACTGATCTGACCTTAGGGAGAATCCTGTAAGCCTGGTCTTGTGGATCTAATTGTATCCCCTCGAAAGATATGTTCATGTTTTGACCCCTGATAATTATGAGTATATCCTTATTTTTAAATAGGATTTTTGAAGATGTAATCAAATTAAGATGAAGCCATACTGGAGTTGATGTTATT